GATAACAGCGAGGAAACGTAGCAAAAAGCTCAACGGTCGGAAGAAAAAATGGCGAGAAAGAGAGATGACAGAGCGGGAAGTGCGAGCGGAAGGCGATTGGAAGAGGATGGGCGAGGATGCGTCGAGCGGATGAAACATCCTGTGGTATTCATGGATGCACTCTCAGGCGGATCAATGCCAGAGGTAACAACTCATGAAAGCACTGGCTCAATCAAGAAGGAGGCATAGGAGTTTGACAAAGTCAACTTGTGAGGCTTGAAGCAATCAGATCATTACTTGAGGCGAAATGGTGGTGATGCTCCACATTGTCTTTGACAGCTTAACCTGCTTAGATCTCCTTTAGACTTCACCCTACTTGGCATTGAGCGCGCATAGGGCTTGTTTGCTCCTGATAAGGGCTTGTTCTATGGGGTTTACACGAAGGCTTAAGGATATGTTTTGAGAACTTAAGGGCATGTTGTTAAGGTTTTGTTTTTAAGGGCTTGTTTAAGGGCTTGTTGAAGATTTAAGGGCTTGTTTAAGGGCTTGTTTCCAGTCGTGGAAATTTGAAGTTACTTATTCCCCTTCCCCTACAATGAATTAGGGTCAAGTCTCGGTGCGACGTTTAAACTTAGTTTTGAATCCCGTTTTCCTGTACGGCTCACCAGCCTCCGCGGCGATTGAGCGGCCTCCCAAACTAGCTAGCTATGGACCGGGACGATCCAACCTGTAGTGCTTGCTTGTAGCCTGTTGTAGTGTTTTGTAGCTTGTTGTAGTGCTTTGTAGCTGGTTGTAGTGCTTGTAGCTTGTTGCAGTGCTTTGTAGCTTGTTGTAGTGCTTTGTAGCTTGTTGTAGTGCTTGTAGCTTGTTGTAGTGCTCTGTAGCTTGTTGTAATGCTCTGTGGCTTGTTGTACATTTACAATGTAGTGCTTGTAGCTTGTTGAAGTGCTTGTAGCTTGCCTGACGGGACACATACCCGCGTCGCAAGCTCAACTCCACCCAGTCGGCATCATGTTCCACAACATGTTCCCACCCAGTCGGCATCATGTTTCACCGCCCTTCACCCCACCACTTCAAGAAAAGGAGAAGTATGCCTTTGGAAGGGTTCGTCCGCTTCAAAGATCGGAAAAGGGTGCAGCAAGTGGTAAGGATCATCGGCCAAGTCCATTGCATATCTATTGCAAACCAACACATGGCTTGCATTGAGTACTGCAAGAAAGATGACAATTATATCGAACTAGGTGTCACACCCATCAAAAAAGGAGCAAGATCTGATCTCAAGGAATTCAAAGAATATTTCAAGGAAAGAAAGATTCAGACAATCCTTCGTCGCTATCCCAATTTTGCCCGAAATTGCCTAGCTAGAGGCTTCCATGCAACCAACAGATACAAAGGAACCACCTCTCGTGCAACCAACATCGGCCACTGACTCACTCAAATAGCCACTGACTCGACTCCACTCGACTCGACTCGACTCATCCTCACTGTAGGACTGTACCAGGTACGTCGTACCAGTACATGTACATCGCAGACCTGTGATCGCACCGCTGTCAGCCAGCCGTACTGTACGTGGCTTCAGGCTGATTGTGGTACGGGTAACAGTCACCCATGAGAATGCTTTTTGAAGAGAGGAAAATCCATGGCCGAGTGTTCTCACAAAATCAACAAAAACAAGAAAGAAACATCTTCAAAAAAAGCAATAACCATCAAAATGAAGTTTGCTGCTGCCATCACCCTATTCGCTGCTTCTGCCAGTGCTTTCAGCCCCTTCAGTGGAGCTAAGAAGGCTGCTGCCGTTGCCACCCCTGTAAGTTTCCCTTGTCATTCATTTTGAAAAGAGTTGGAATATTTTTCTGGAAACAAGAAACTGACTTCTTCATGGCACATCACCATCACAGGCCTTCACTGTTGAAACAATCCCTGGAGCTCTTGAGCCTATGGGCATCTGGGATCCTCTTGGATTTGCTGCCAAGGCTGATGAGAAGACCCTCAAGCGATACCGTGAGGCAGAGCTCACCCATGGACGTGTTGCCATGCTTGCCACAATTGGTTTCCTGGCTGGAGAAGCTGTTGAGGGATCCTCTTTCTTGTGAGACGCCAGTGTCGCTGGTCCTGCCATCACCCACCTTACCCAGGTCCCCCCTCTCTTCTGGGCTCTTTTGGCAACTGGAATTGGTGCTGCTGAACAAAAGCGTGCTGAAATTGGCTGGGTTGAACCTTCCAATGTTCCAGTTGACCAACCAGGCCTCTTGCGTGCTGAATACACTCCTGGTGACATTGGATTTGATCCCCTTGGCTTGAAGCCTGAGGACCCTGAGGAGCTTTTGGTCCTTCAAAACAAGGAACTCCAAAATGGACGACTGGCTATGCTTGCCGCTGCTGGCTTCATGGCTCAAGAATTGGCGGATGGAAAGGGAATCATGGAACATTTGATGAACTAAATTGATGCAGCAATGCACATTTCTGGTGGTTGAGCAGTTGACGTTGTTGTGGTGTCTCTTTGCGGAGGTTGTATATATTTGCTGCATCACTGGTGTGGAAGACTGCCAAGGGCAACGAAAGCTCAAAGGCAAACTGAAAAATAGTCTCACCACCTTTGTACATTTATAAATAGTAATTGAAAGATTACAACCCTATTTCATCCTAGTCACCGTCTTTGGTTGGTTGAGCATGTGGAGGTTTCACTTGCATTCACTCATCTCCGAGGAATCGAATCCAATCTCGCTGTCAGAGCTCATTCAAGTAGAATTGATTTAGCAGTTCTTTTGTTACTTGTCTTTCCATCCATCTAGAGGCACTCCAGTTTCCCCCTACCGTTAGCACGCAAGCTCCAGAAACAATTGGACTAGTGGTGATAGCATGAGGGCTCCTTACTATACTATCTATAGCTTAAAACAAATAGTGAACGATCCCTTCCAAAGAGGATGCACTTAAAGCGTTCACAAGGACAGACAGTTTGTCGCCGACTTTCACGAAAAGCCACAGCCCAGCTCGGTGAGCTTCTTGAAAGCTTGACCAAAGTCGTCCTTGAGTCGGGCTTCATCGGCGGCATATGCCTCCAGGTAAATACGTAAGGAAGGATCCCACGCCACTATCATGTCTGAAGCCAACATCATCTGATTGGGTTCGTCGTCCACGTGACCCGGCTTTTTGTTGACAAACTGGCGGTTCCCTGGGGCAGGTCGTAATTCCGCGGCCCCCTGGGCATCCAACCATGTATCCGCATGACTGACCAGCGTCCATTCATCTTCTAGCATATCGGTGGCATACTCATTGGAAAATTCGGTTGGGTGCTCTACCCAAGGTCCCGCATAACCCGAGAAATTGGGATGGCAACGGCCGTAGACATGGCCACCACAGAGGAGAGCCACAATCTCTTGATCATTGAACCCCATTCGATAAAAGACCTCATTTTTGACATGGGTACAAAGGCCTTCCCAGCCCACAATTCGGCCAGCTGCATCCTGACTGTTGCCGAGACTATCACCAGGCACATAGGGGCAAAGGTACTTTTCTGCCGCGGGGAGACGGCCATAGGTCATGCCCGTTCGTGCCCAATACGTTTCGTCTCCGTGGTCCGTTCGTCCAGGAGAAAACGGAAGGACTGGGCCTCCTGTATGTTCCAGGCCCACATAGGCAGCCAAAATCCAAAGGTCCGAGTAGGAAATATTGGGATGTTGGCGCTTGATGGGTTCCAAAAAGGCTCTGGCTACCTCCAGACCGGCATTTTCTGGATCGGCGGCTTCCGTGTCAAATCTCATGCCTGCACCGTTGGAACCCCCAGTCCCCGTTGCCGCGTCGTAAGTGCCACTACTATGCCATGCCAACCTGATAAAGATAGGGGCCAACGATCCATCATCCCAAGACGGATTGTCCATGAGCAGCTTGAGATCAGATCGAACTTTATCATAATCCACATTACTCGGCTGTGGCGGTGTGACAGATGAATACGTCTGATGCGGAGTCACGGTGGACAAGGAATCCAAATAAGAAGCGCTGCTGACACTGAGAGCCCCTCCTGTACGGGAAGAGCTGTGTGTCACCGGCAATTGCCAGGCGGCTGTACCTGTAAAAGCACACAAAAGGGAAAGCACAACGACTCCTCTTCTTGATGTCATCATTGAGTCGATAAGCTATGTGATATTGGTTGTGGTTGTGGTTGTGGTAGTGTGCTTGGCCGAAAGAGATCGGTGAATGGCTGGACCATCATCCTGCATTGCCATCACTTTGATCCCAGCGCGTTGATGGATGGTTGTCGAACTTCTTTGTTTGATTCACTGACGTGTCGTTGGGAGAATCTCCATCAGTTCTGCTGGTTAAGAATCTTCTTCGGCTGCATCGTCCGGAACATGTACACTATTAATACTACCTCATCGATAAGATAACTCTATTGTGAAGTATGCAAGCAGTAATCCACCCGACAAGCCCTCGTAGAGTCTGGTACATTCTCTACAGAGGAGAAAAGAAACGACGGAAATCCACTAGTTGTTTGTGAGTGGACAGATTATTGGATTTTGGATGAGAATCCAATCTGAAGATTTAAGCTTACACATGGATTTTGAGTGCCATTTCCCAGGTTTGTATAAGAAGCGAGTTGATTGGAAGTTTTACTCTTCTAGTAGTTACTGTGTAAAATCCACTGTTGGATTTTCAGCCGTTTTCTTCATTGTGTTTTGCCGGGTAGAATCCCACTAATAGTATCACGGAGAATCCACTGTTGGATTTTCAGCCGTTTATTGACCCATAAGTAATCAAAGGACACAGAAAATAGTCCTTGAAATTCACGAAACAGGACTCGTTCACTGGTAAACTGTGCTCCGGTCTACAACAACACGACAACAAGCCACCGACAACAACAACGCGACAACAACAACAACATGACAATGGCGCTCCTGTTACGGTGCATCTTTCCTCGGGCTATTGTCAGGTAGATTACACACAAAGACCTCCCGCCTCACTGTCGGCCTCGAATGTCGGCTGCGATCTCGGCGCGGTCGGCCTAACGGCCTTCGAGGCGCCTTGATCTGGCCTCCATTCTTGGCCTGTCGATCCTTGTTAAATCGTGCTCCCTTGGCTTCGCCGCGGGAACACGATTGAACTCGGATCTTCAGTTTGCCGGGAGATTTTTCTACAGGAGTGCCGTCTCTCTAGCTAGCTCTAGACCGTAGCGATACCGATACCGGTACGGTCCGTGGACTTAGCCAGAATGAATTATTCAATAGCTGAGTGCAAATGGTTCAGACTCTGTATCTGCTCTTGGCTACAAGAATCATATTGAGCACTACTATATTCCCCCACTTACACGGTGACAGCAGGCTGAAGGCCGAATCTGGGCCGGCCAGCCAGCCACACATGTCTCCCATCGTGTCCTCTTTGGAAGTTGCAGACAATGAGATTGGTTTAATGGATTCTTCGATACTACATTCTTTAGCAGCACAATCTACTTCTCGAGTTCCTCAATCTCTATCTGCTCCTCCGGCATGGACTGGTACGGGTACCGTCAGATCTACTGTATGCATACCGGAAGCTTGTGGCTGTAATTACGTAATTACACTTCCAAATTTCAAAAGCTCTAGTATTGTAGTAAGAAAACCTGCAACTAACTGCGTTCAAGGTGACTTCTGTGATGGTTCTTCGGACATTGTTGCGTCGCTTTGAATGCCTACCAAGCTCGCTAGCTAGAATACGTTAGAAGTGCGCTTTCCAAGATCAGCTGTCTCGTGGAAAGTGAACTCTTACAATTGGCTATCTGACCAAACTGGCAGCTACTGGTTAGGGAGATGTACATATGATAGAAAACTTTCGGCAGTGGCGACCAGAGCAGCTGCATGTGAAAATGTTTGCGCCCCGCCTGGCTTGGTATTGCCACTATCGCTCAATCTGAAGGTTAATTAGGAAGAACCCTCACCGATTAGTGTTACTATGGCGCCGAGCCAAAAACTGCTCGCCCTTGGAGGGCAAGGATTCAACATCGACCGAATCCCCGTATCTCAAGCAATGGCGGTGGCCTCGTTGTACTGTAGTAGACCAGCGGTACCGTTGTAGTAATATCCACCGTTTACAATAGCCAACAGGAAAGGTGGTGCTGAGTGGGTAGCTATTTAGTTTGTAGACGGGAGCGTCCACAACAATGCTTCCCGTGGCGTCTCCCCAACATACGGGAAATGATAGAGGTGTCCCTCTGACGGCCAATTTGGATATGGGGGGTTCCTCCTCCCAAGGGATTGCAGGTGGGGGCCACCAAGAATCACAAGGAGATAATAATGTTACGGGAGGAGAGATGAACAGTATCGACCTAGATTCCTTTAGAAATCAGAAGATAAAAGAATTTAGGGAAGCATTGGAAGTCGACATTCAGCGAAAACGACAACAAGCACAAAAGGATCTAGAGGCGGCTGAAAGACAAAAATGGGAGCAACTGATGGAATTCCAGCAGGCTCTACAGAGAGAACAGCAAAAGCAGGAACAGCAAAAGCAGGAACAACAACAACGATCGCAGCAGCAACTAAGGGAGTTTCAGCAAGCTTTTCAAAGAGAGCAGCAGCAAGCCCTTCAAAGCGAGCAACAACAGAAGGAACAAGCACAACAGCAACGATCACAGCTGCAACCACAGCAGCCGACACAGCCACAATACGTCCCACCACCACAACCCCCACCCCCAAACCCTGCCAATTACACCCAAGCTTCAGCTTTGTCGCAACAACAAAGTCGTGTGCCAGGGCAAGCCAATTTACCTCAGCAACCAAGTCCCAGCCAACAGGTTCAGCAGCAACAACTACTACTACAACCTGTCCAGCAACAGCAAACAGTCCAACAACAACCTGTCCAGCAGCAGCAACAACAGCAAGGAATGGCGAGGGTAGCCAACCCATTGCATCAGCAACAACAGGCTGTTGGCATTCAGCAGCAGGGGCTGAACATGGGTATGCAAGCGACTCAGACTCCGTCTGCAAATGTTGGTATGCAATCAACTGCTCCTAACTATATACAACAGCACGGACAGAGCATGGGGATCCAAATACGTTCGTCTATGCAACAAACACCACAACAGCAGCAACAACAAAGTATACCACAAGGGATGCAACAGGCAGCTCCGTCTGTGTATCAGCAGCAGCAACCGCCACAACCACAACAAAGCATGGCCTTGCCACCATCATCAGGACCTCAACATATGATGACCAGCTCCTCGTATGGACAGTATTCTTCCATGTCGGCGATCAACCCTATAGCAAACCCCATGAGACAACAGCAACAGTACCAGCAAGCAAGTCCCATGAGACAGTTGCCACCGCAAGTCCAACCAGCAAGTCCTATGGTGCAGCTCCAAGCTCCGCCAAATCCAACTAAGCAACAGCTACACCAGGGGGCAAGCCCAGTGAGACAACTCCAAGCAGCAAGCCCAGCCAGACAACATATTTCATACAACTCTATCCAACACCAAAACGGGCAAGACCAAATGGCACAACAAGCTGTGCAGCAGCAAGTGGGAAATACTGCTCTGTCCGCTGATCGCATGTATCAATCACACGATGGAGGGGACTTTGATGTTGCAAACTCTGGGCAATATCATGAAGGTGCCTCGGTACGGATAGCCAATCCTATGAGGCAACACCAGGGAATGGGGACTTCTGTTTACACAATGTATAACAATAGTTACATGGGAAGGACGGGCAGCTCGACGAGACAATACGACAAAGTCATTCAGAGCAGCCCAATGCGCCAGTACGAAGATGGCAGATCGCGCAGTCCGATGCGATATCATGCAGATGGCAGGTCAGGCAGCCCACTGCAGCAACATGACGATAGGAGATCCAGGAGCCCAACACGACATCGCATAGATGCCAGATCGGGCAGCCCTCTGCGGCAATATGAAGGCGGCAGATCCGGTAGTCCTATCCGATACCACGCAGACGACAGATCTGGCAGCCCGATGCGACATCACGCGGATGTCAGGACGAATAGCCCCATAAGGCAGATCGGCATGGCAGCAGCGGCGAACCCTTACAATCGGCAAGGTTCAGAGTATTCATCAGCTTATGATGCGAATCAAGACTATCACCACATGTCCCGCTCAGCAAGCTTATCCTATCCGGATCCAACAATCGGTCGAAGTCGAAGTCCCAGCCGAATGGCTCATGCAGCACCTCAACATCGATCAATGTCTTCGAGCTCAGTGGACACAGAAGGTTACTACCGGGGTCTACCAGGAGGTGCCAATGATGATATCTGGAGGACACGTGGTGAGCCCGAAACCTTCACTTTTGACAACGCTGAGGACGACAGAACCCACCAAAAGCCGCGAATACCCGGAGTATATTCAGCCGGTGTGGAGAGAGTCATGTCACATCAGAACTCAAGAGATCTAATTCACTCGAGCTCGACTTGGAATCCATCTGGTCGCAGGGTCGCCAGTCCGCCGTCGCCCCGTCACCTAGATCGTCTCGATGAAGCTGAGCGCCTGGAACGTGAGTACGCGCAACTAACAGGGAAGAGGATTGTACCAAGTGCTAGCAAATTGACAAATCTGATGCAAGTGAAAAAGATGCAAGAAGAGAGACGGCGCAAGTTGGAAGCGCTTACCGCAAAAGTGGTCGAAAACCGCCGCCGACTCGCGCACGAGATGAAGACAGCAGATCGCCCACTTGAAATATCCGTCGTAGAACGACTCGCTCACGAAATGGACGTAGAAGAACGTCTCTACGAGAAATCTTTGCAGGCCAGGGAAGGACACCGCACGCCTCCTCGCAGACCTCGCGATCAAAGGGACGATGATGAGCTTCGCACAGAAGAATACTATACAACTCCTCGCAGGCGTCAAAGTGATAAAAGAGAAAAACGAGCACAGGAGGAAACGAGAATTGAAAAACGTCATTCGCCTTCTTCCAAGCATCACCGTGACGCAGGAGACAAAAGAAAGGAGGAACGCCCCAGGGAAGAACGTCGTTCCTCTCATAGGCATGATCCCAGAGATGAGCGCCGTGAAGAGCTTCCCGTGGTTGTCGAGGTGGAGGAGCCCACTGAAACTGACACAGGGACTGGGATGAGAACGGAAGAGGTCACACATAGTGCAGCCAGGCCGAAGCATCATCGAAAAGAGTCACACAGTGAATACCGAAGCGAAGAGCCGTCAGGTTCCTCTAGCGCTGTGAGTGAAAGCGATGAACAAGTCAGGGTGAGCGAAAGTAAACCCAATCCCACGAGGAAATCTGCTAGTAAGACTCCTCCCAAATCCCGAAGCCACGACAAGCACAATCGAAAAGCGGAAGCCAAATCGAAAAAGAAGGAACGAAAAGGGAAGACCAGTGCCGATGAATTTCTCGAGAAACTGCGCCAGAAGAGGTCCGAGGCCGCAGCACGCCTGGAAGTTGAGGGCGAATCTGCTGCATACGACAGAGAGGACTTCTTGAATACGCTCGAAACGGGCAAAGCTGCTGTCACGTTGCCGACGCGAGATCCCAAGCTGGCCAGAAAGAATAGAAAATTACCGTCACTAAAGCTCACCAGGGAAAGCCATTCAGGCGACAAGGGCGATGGAAGGATTAGCCCGGGCAAAGGGAGAACACAGATTAAGATTGTTACAAAGAAGTCCAAAACCAGTGGGCGAGTAACTCCAACGAGTGGAAGAGTAACTCCAACCAGGGTCAGCGGAAGACAAACTCCAACCAATGGACGAGTATCTCCAACCAACACGCGGGGATCTCCAACCAGTGGGCGAGCAACACCAAAAGCTGAACTAGAGAAGGCTGTCGCAAGAGATCTTGACTTGACCCATGACGTCGAAGAAAGTCGAGATGTCAGCACCTTGGAGGTGGAGACCGTGACAGGACCGTCCATTTCAACGGATCCAACCGAAAGAGCAGTCCAGCAACGTTCCGAATACAAATCACCTTCCTCTGAGCAAAAGGCGAACACAAAAAAACACACTGTCATCATGGTGAAAAAAACAGCCGCAAAGCCAACTCTGGAGCAACAGATTGCTGCATCTCGAGAAAAGGAACGAGGGAGAAAGGAACGTGGTGCATCTTCAACAGTTTCTCTCGTTAGTGACATGTCTGAAAGCGTCTTCGCTGTTGCTCCAATAATGTTCGACAACGATAGCGTGGCGTACACAGACGAGCCATCAGACCAAATGTTCAGCGATCTTCATTTTGACGATATTGTCGGCTCACCAAGTAGCAGCGTTGCCCGAGTGTACCTGGCTGATGATGACACAACTGCAAAACATCAGAAGTTAAAGGTTCGAGAATTCGAGGGAGGTTCTGAGACCGAAGGGTTCGAAGTTGAAGAGGGCACAGGCAGTGATACCGGGAACTCACGATCAAACAAAGCACAGAAAGAGCCCAACGATCCTCCAGACTCTCGAAAGCACAACGAGAAGCCGATGTCGAACCTTGAAGCTCTTCATGAATTGGAGAGGAAGCTAGACGCTGAAGATCGTAGAAATCTCATGCCGGAATTGCTTGAACTCACTGAGCTCTACGGATGGGACATGAAAAAGTTGTTGCAAAATGTTGTACAATTCTTGCCCCACCTTTCAAGTGATGGTCTGAGCGAGTCATCTTTGCAGCACCTCTTGAGTTTACCGGTCAAGGCATTTCGAAGCCCTCGCGGTTCTCCAGCAACCTCCCCTATCCGTGCCACGTCCAGTCGCAAAATCCCTGTAACTTATTCAACAGACCGCCGAAGCCCTTCATCCCGCTCCACTGCTGAAGTAGCGATCCGCGATGGGTGGCGATCTCGTACACGGAATGGACCCGCTACTCCTCGAACAAGGCATGCAGCCGCATCAACTAGAGTTGCCAGGGTAAGACATCGTGACGATGGAGTTATCGACATGGGCGATGTCCGAAGCAGCCTGAAGAGCATTCTCAAGAGAAACAACAGGGTCTCTCGAACAGCCTACAAGCCCGAATTGAACAGTCTGAACGAGCACTAGCTAGCTTGCTTGGCTCCTCCCCATATTGGCCGAAACGGATATTCATGATAACCATGCTAGCCAAACTATTTTTAAATAAAACTCTGCGCTCTTCTGCTTGCATCTATGCACGAATTGGGTAATCGTAGTCGTATTCCTGTGAATGAAGTTAACACTGCTACCGGTACGTCCTGCTACATGCCAGCTACATAATCATAGCTGTCGCCCCCAACAGCTCCCCGAGCATCTTCAATTTAATCGATCAGAAGGCGGAAGAATACCCCCAGAGACCGTTGTGATGAGAAACTATGTCCCTGCCTTGCCCTACTCGTCCTTACTCATTCTGAAACGTTTCGCCGACTCTTTCACAGAATGGGCGCTGCTCTGGTATCAGCTCCTCCTCTGGTATCAGCCCCTCCTCTGCCAACTCCTGCTTGTCACCACCCTTTGCGGCAGCCACAGCATGTGCTGTACTGTTCGTTCCGTTTGGAATGACCCTGGAAATTATTTTGAAGAGGAGGTTAGATTACCTTGACATAAGCAAGCACTGCAGTGCATCGTTGGACAGAACTCACCAGAAGCTCTCCATTTCACCCTTGCCTTTGATTTCAGTCAAGCCTCTGGATCGGACTTCAATAGACTTGTCTTGTGTCACTAGAAGATCCGCGGATGCCTTCGAGCAGTGAATACTGTTTGCCTCGGATGTGCTCTCCATGCGGGATGCTACACAAGAGCAACCATGGCGGTGTAAGAGGCACGGCATCCCCAGAGGCCACACCAAAGCTTCATGCACGTCCTTACCAGTATTGACGGTGTCTCCAAACAAGCAATAACGAGGGTTTCTGGTTCCAACTACGTCAGCCACAACCGGCCCCGAGTGAAGACCTTTGAAACAAAGCGAAGTGTGAGGATCAGATTCAGGAAAGAAGACTTTGAAGGCAGGAAAGGTCCCGCTTTAGTACTTACCAACTCTTATGTTCACACAACCCAAGGCAGGGTTTTCTGTGTCGATCAAAGTGTCATTTGCAGCTGCGATTGCTGCAGCAGAGAACCGTGCAATGCGGGCGGCGTGATCATCCTGATCCTTGACCAGATTGGTGACAGCCATGTATGCTATTTGAATACGGGGAAGAAGGCGTGAGGAATAAAAATGTCATGCACACACTCTGGCTAGTTTCTTGGGCTCACCATCCCCAATGGTCTCGACCTGCATTGCGGTTTGAAAAGGAGAGATGAGAGACTCAGCACTGCAACACAAAATCGCGCACGGATTGGAGTCATTCGGTCTCACCTTGAAGATGTCCTCGTAGTGCGACAGCTGGTCGAACTTCGTGTATAGCCTATCCAGGAGATTTGCGACTTTCCTTGGTTCCATTTGGGACGAGAGAGTGGTGAAGCCAACAATATCGCTGGTAATTTTGCAGCAGAATAAAAAAAGGTGAGGGTTGTGGCATCTTGTGTTTGAAACGTAGCTTGTCAGAAATATTACTTTACCTGAAGAAAATCGTCACACAGTCCTTGTGCTCTGAGTCGACCTTCTTCCCATCCTTCAACGCCAGTGCGATGTGCTCAGGGAAGATGTCAAACAGCGAGATCGTACCGGTAACTGATCGACGCTTGGACTTTCTTCTAGTTTCGACCTTGGCAATATCCATGCGCTTCAGACGCATATCGACTTCTTCAAACGACGGCCGTTCCTGGGGGTCCTCTACTAGGCAATCACTCATGAGACCCACGATCTGAGCAGGACAATCCATTGGAACGGGAGGCCGTTTACCAACAGAGGGGTCAGCAACTAGCTTGAGGACTTCCTTGGGGTTTTCTCCCTCGTATGGATCTTTCCTCGAGAAGACTTCGTAAAGGGTGATACTGAACAACAAGAAGCTCTTGAGGAAAAGCTGAAATAAAAAAATGAGTGCAAGGGTCGACTGTCCACACGTACCCAAAAGCATAAACATCGGATGCACTCGTATTCACAGAGTCACCTCGAAGCAACTCAGGTGCCATGAAGTAAGGCGAGCCCACTGCGAGCTTTCCCTTGGAAAGACCTGTTTCATCGGAGGAATGAAAGATGCATGAGACGGCGCAGATCATTCACAGCCACAGCTGAGTTTGAGAGCGAATCAGAGCCACTGCTTACCAAAGTCCGCGAGCTTGGCGTGGAAGTTGCGTGCAATCAAAACGTTCGCGGGTTTTAAATCTTTATGCAAGAGGTTTGTAGCATGGAGGAAGCGCATGCCGCTAGAGATGTCACGCAAGATCGGGAGGAGAATTTCGCCGTCGAGTATCATTGTATTATTGTGCAGAATGTCGTGTAGACTGCCGTGATCCCTATCACGTGCAAGCCAAGAAACTGTTAGTGGACATACACTGTTTGTTCTTCGCACAATTAATTGAGACATCTTCGAACAAGCACTCACATGTATTCCATGATGAGGAGGGGCTCTTCACCAGGGCAAAGCACAGCACCCCTGTGCCAGTCGAAAAACGTGCAAAGTGCAATGAGAGTGAGCAAGAAACGTTAGATTCGATTCAAGCAACTGGAAGTGGTAACAAAAACATCTTCCTGAAACAAAACACACGTACATGACAGTTGTGATGCAGGGATGTCTGGGAGTCGCCGGAGAAAATTAAAATGTGAGCGGCAATGTTGCCAGCATGGCGGTGATGGCATTGTCCGGGCGAAGCTCCTTTCACTTACCTGAGTTTCGATAGATATCTCATTTCAACCACGAAGTCTCTTTGAAGTTTCCGCCGTACTGATTTCACGCTTCCCCTCCCGCTCTCCCTCCTGTTGTCAGAGCCCGGCCCATCCGATGACTCGATATCATCGAGACCGCCCGCAAACATCCCTGTGTCGTTCGTTTTGAGACCAAGAGACAAGACACCCCACGACGTTGAGCCCGCCCTGTCATTGCCCTTTGGTTCCTCCAAAAATTCGCTTTCATGTTCCCATTCCTTATCCTTACCATTGCAGTCATTGTTGTTGTCATTCGACTCTCGCGGGGGGATGACACGTTTGACGGCCACATCTGTACCTCGATAAGAGCCCAGCAACACGACGCCAAAGCTCCCACGACCCACCACTTTGGGTGGTTCGGCAAATTGGAGCTCACTTTTGGAGACTCTCCATACACTGTCTGCCTTTTTTTGCTTGCTTTCGACAAAGAACCAAGCCATGATACCCAACACGGCAAATAGCGCTGCGACAATCCCAAAAATGGCTCCCGGAGAAGACCAGGCGGCACTACTGCTTCGCGATGCTGCGACCACGCACGTGGCGGCGATCCCCACCCCGGTCGACACTTTTCCCTCGGGGCAGATACAGTATCCCTCCACAGAACAGGTGTACCCATAGACTTGTACGCAACTGGACGTTTGAACGCAGTCCCGGCCATCCCACGTGGGCATGGGATACAAGATCTGTCCACTGGATCGCTCCACGGGGAATGCGGTCTGAACCGCTCCAATGGAATCGTATTGCAGCAGCAACATGGGCGCTGCATTTTGGCCATTTTCATCAAAGGAAATGTCCCCAAACATGGTGGGAAAGGTATGCCGCGACATGTAATCGGCCAACAGCGGAGCGTCACTATACGATTGGATGGCTTCCATGGTTTGTACGGCAATGGAAATCATGGCGGCGGCCGTGGTGGCTTGGTAGACGACGGTGGACTCGGAGGACAGTGTGGAGTAGTGTTGAGTGAATTCTTGCGACGTCCACCCCGTGAGCGCATCCGTGGCGCGGACGCTTTCGTGCCACGGCGCCACACCCATGACATACGCGGCATCGGTCCCCACGGCCTCCACAAACTTGTCACTACCGACGCAAATGGTAAAGACTTGCGCTTTGGGGGACCAATGCACGGCCCGCAGGGCTGCCATCCAGCGTTCACATTCGTACATGCACCCAATGACGACATCTGGATTGAGTTCTTTGAGTTTAGCAGCGAGCGGTGTCAGGAGAGTCACGTTGGGATCCGCTTCCACCTGTGTTTCCGAAATCAGCTCCATGGAAAACTCGTGTGCCAATTCTGGCACTGCCTTGCAAGCACTAATGGGAAAACCAACATTCTCCCAAAGGGTTGCCACGGTCTTGGCGGTTGTTTCCAGGCTCAATCCTTGCATGGCGGGCCTCAAAAAGTTGGCCGAGGGAGGGGTTGTCGTAAAAATGTTGGATCGGTTTTGGAAGATGGATGTCAAGGAGGAACCTCCTGCCAGCATGAGACGCGGGTTGTTGCTGTTGCTGGCCTGTGAAGCTGTTGTTGTGGCATTGATATTGTGTTCTGCCACGACATTGGCCAGTGCCTTGGTAAGAAAGGAGGAGAATCCCGACACTATGAGATCGATTGCCTCTGCCGAGTTGCTGCTGGAGGAATTGTTGTTGGAGTATGGCGCTTGCACCAACTTGTGGCCAATGGCAGTCGTAATGTCGGCGTCGGACTGGTCATCGTATGTTTGCAAGTCGATCTTGTAGTGCTTGCCGCCCACGCGGATACCACACCGTTCCCGATTGATCGTGTCAATCATCAGCTGATAGGCCAACAATTGACGATGTGCCATGAAGTAGTACTTGTCATCTTGCTCCAACGACGATGGACCACCAAACACTACGGTGCCATCAAAGGTACATCCATCCGAAGACACAATCGATGTGTCTATGCTGCGACGCATCGAAACAAGACCGGGCTCATTATTACGTTGGGTTGTTGTCTGGCCTTCGGTACTACTAGTAGTGCCAGCCCCACGGACAGGATAGACTCCCCTGCCCAGCAACACCAGCATCATCATCAAAGAGAGGTGCTTGGGTACAATCATGGTCAACTACGGTCAACGAGCCTAGTAGCTAGATATATAAATGATGATGGATAGATGATACTAGCTAGGGAGGGTAGTTTGGACGGGATGAGGGTTAGCTTGTGTTATTTGGGTGGGGTGGTGTGTTAAGTTTGTTGTTACAGTGTGTGTTGTGGGGTTGGTGGTTTGTTTGTGTGGGGGTGTTTTGTTGGTGTGGTGGTTGGGAGTGTTGTTTGTTGGGTGGGTGGTGGGGTGGTGGGTTATGTTTTGTTGTTTGGTGGTGGGTTTGTTGGGGGGGTTATTTTTGGGGGGGGGTGTTGGGGTTGGGTGGTGTTTTTGTTTGTTGGGGTTTGTTTTGTTTTTTTTTTGTGTGGGTGTTTGTGGGTTTATGGTGGGTGGTTGTGGTATTTGGTTGTTGTTGGGGTGGGTTGGTTTGTGTGGTGTTTGTTGGTGGTGGTTTA